CTTATGTGGAAAAAACATTTTAGGTACTGATGATATGCCTCTGCCAAGGCAATAGCTTAGGGAGGACTTGGGGGGAGAGCTTCTTTCGTTTATTTGTTATGTATATTTTTGTATAAACCAAGGGTTTAAACTGTATTAGACTTAAGTCCACTTTTGTTATAACCAAGTATCATCTTGGAAAGCTATAAGCCCTTAGGACACTTCTTATCTGTTTAACTTCCATTCTCTCTCTTTTGTTCACAACATATGCTATAGATTTAGGGCCATGCATTATGAATGTATACCGCATATGTTTCTCATTTGTTAATACAACTGGAATTTAATGGAAGATAGTTATGTTATCGTTGTTGTCATTTATTGATATTGTGTATAGATGATCGTAATTATTTCAGGGCATTGCATAAGTTATGATCAAAGTGGTGTGGTTATGAGCCAAAGAGTATTGGTTATAAACCAAATGGTGTTGATAATGACATATGTGGGTAGTAGTTATGAGATACGTGATGTTGGTTATGATCAAAGTGGTGTGGTTATGAGTCAACGGATGTTGCTTATGAGATATGTGATTACTGATTATGAAATATGTGATGTTGGTTATGCTCAAAGTCATATATTTATGAGCCAAAAGATGTTAGTTATGAGATATGTGATTAATGGTTATAAGATATGTGATATTGGTTATGAGCGAAATGGTGTTGGTTATAAGATGTGATTAGGAGTCAAAGGGTATTGGTTATGAGATATGTGATTAGTGATTATGAGATATGTGATATTGGTTATGAGCCAAATGGTATGGTTATGAGACGTGTGATTGGTGGTTATAAGGTATGAGATGTTAGTTATAATCAAAGTGTGTGGTTTTGAGCCAAAGAGTATTGATTGTGAGCCAAAAGGTGTTGGTTATGAGATACGTAGGTAGTGGTTATGAGATATGTAATGTCGGTTATGATCAAAGTGGTGTAGTTATGAGCCAGAGGGTGCTAATTATGAGATATGTGATTACTAGTTATCAGATATGTGATATTGGTTATGCTCAAAGTAGTATAGTTATGAGCCAAAAGATGTTGGTTATGAGATATGTGATTAGTGGTTATAAGATACATATATTGGTTATGAGCCAAATGGTGTTAGTTATGAGATGTGGTTATGAGTTATGAGATATGTAATGTTAGTTATGAGCCAAATAGTGTGGTTATGAGGCAAAATGTGTTAGTTATGAGATGTGGTTATGAAATAAGTGATTAGTAGTTATAGATATGTGATATTGGTTATGAGTCAAATAGTGTTGGTTATGGGATGCAGTTATGAGATATGTGGTAGTGGCTTGGCTTATAACTAAGTTATGATCAATTTGATTTTAGTTATGAACAAATATGATTTTGGTTCATAATTATAAAGAGTGACCTGTTTACCAGGTCAGTTTTAATGATATGACTCAATCTTAGCACTTCATTTTCTTTATACCATACATATTTTTGAATAAAATGTACTATAGAATTTCCCTACTTGCCCGGACAATATCCTCTAGTCCAAATCATTAAGATGTGTAGTCTTTCCATTGGAAAATACACACAAAAACAGAAAATTCACATGGTTCATTAAAACTAAGTCCACTTTATGGTCATTGCAGTTTCATTATAAAGAGATTGAATCAAAACATATATAGAGAGATAGTGGGTTCTCACAATATATATATATATATATATAAATATTTGAGGGTTCTAATTGAACGCTCTCAATTCATCTTTAATGGTATGAAATGTATCATGTGAAGTGAGGATCTATACCATTCTCTTTATCTCTTTCTTTCACCTTATTTAAAATAAAAACAATAATAATGTATTAAAAAATGTATCACCACTCTTTATATATATAATATTCACGAATGAGCCTTGAAAGATGGGTTTACGGCAGCCATAGTAATGAAAAAATCGTCTTACTATAGTTTCTTTTGCAGTCGTGTAATTAATGGTCAATATTTACCACGATCCACATCATCTCATAACAATTTGTCCTTTCCATATTTCTCTCACATGCCAACTGTAAAAATAAAATAAAATAGTAATAACAATAAAAAAAAAAATCAACAAGAGGGAAAATTATAAAATATTTTTAGAATATTACGTATTTGTACTTTTTAACTAATTATCATTTAATATGTTTCATCATATTTATCAATTACTCAACTACTTATAATTTTTTATCAATCATAATATTATAAAGAGAAATGTTAGGGATCATGAAAAAAAATTCATGAAAATAATCATGAAAAATTTATGACTCTTAGATTACCTTGATTAGTGTGTGGTACTTTATTTTAAGTGTAATCCAAAGGTCATAAATCTTTCATGATCATTTTCATAAAAGACTTTTCATGATACTTAGCATTACTGTATTATAAAATATTATGTATCTATATTCAGAAATTACTGACTAATTAATCTTAGGCGAGCGAGGGGTAAACAATAGCAAACCTACCATATTAGCATATTGAGACGACATCATTAATGCATGATAGAGAAAATCACTTTCATCGTTATACTAAAAAAGTTGGAAAACTCTGCTCCACCGTCCAATATCATATAATATATATATAGAGAGAGAGAGAGACACACAGAACTGGCCTAGCCTCCCTTGTCTCTCTCATGCATTTGCTTCCAATTCAAACAAAAACACTTTCAAAAGACGGAAAGTAAAAGTAATAGACCAAGTTTGTTTTAGTGAAAATGGCATTCTCATTTGTCTCCCCTCCCCTCCCCTCCCCTTCCCACCCTCCATCTCTCTCTTTTTTTTCTTGAGCCTTGAAGAATAGAAGAATAGCAAAAGTTAGTTGAAACACCTGACAGTTGTTTTGTTGTTGATAGCTATAGTGAGCCTCCCGCCAGCGATCTCTGTTCCCAAAATCTATTCTGAATCCAGCATAGCATCAATAGTATTATATGGTGAGAATCTTAAAATACAAAAATATTTAGTAGAGGGAACCAATAATTTTGGATACAAAAAATTCCCACTCACTCCCTTCATGTATTGGATAAACACAACACCTGTCTAAGGCTTTTTACTGTGTTGGGAAGACAATGAGAGCGGGTCCATGTGATGCGACCACCACCGTTCCAACTTGAAGTGGCCAACAACCAAACCTTATTGAATTTTACAATTAAAATATATATGCATAATATACTTGCACATAAAAAAACAGAAATAGTCTCGCTGTTTACAAAATAAGGCTGCCCAATATATAGAGGAAGGGGACTCTGAAGCAAAACAAACAAGTCATGTTTTAAGATTGAGTTATGTTGGGAATTTTAAATAATCTATTTAATTTTTTACCAAATTCTTATATAAGTGTGGGATTTACACGTGGGTTTGTGTGAATCCTACACATATGTAAAAAGTTTGATATAAAATTTGACAAATTATTTGAGATATATAGGATGTGTTTGGTAACGTTTACGTTTTCACTTTATATTTACAAAAATTTTATAAATTAGTTTTTGTTTATTTTTTGTTTATTTTTAGAAAAATATAAACTACAAATGCGTTTGGTAATTGACAAAATATTTTAAAAAATTAAAAAATATAAAAAAGAGTGAGAAATGGCAAGTGGCGGTGGAAAACGATGGTGAAAATTGGTGACGGTGGGTGGTGGATAGCTAGTGGTGGTAGGTGGTGGCGAGTGGTGGCGAGTGGGTGGTGGCGGGTAGGTGGTGATGGTGGGTGGGTGAGTGAAGGTGGCGGGTGGTTGGTGGTAGTGAGTGGGTGGTGGTGATGGTGGTGGTGGTGGCAGGTGGGTGGCGATGGCGGGTGGTGGTTGGTGGTGGCAGGTGGGTGGTGAGTGGTGGTGGCAGGTAGTGGTAGGGGGTGGGTGGTGGCGGCAGAAGACGGTGGTGAGTGGTGCGGCAAGTAGGTGGCGGGCGATGGATGGTAGTGGCGAGTGGCGAGTGGCGAGTGGTGGCGGGTGGATGGCTGGTGGTGGTTGGTGGTGGTGGTGGCGGCGGCGGCGAGAGGTGGGTGGTGGTGGCGAGTGGGTGGTGGGTGGTGGTGGCGGAAGACGGTTGTGGAAAATGGTGGCGGGTGGTGGCTAGTGTTGGGTGGTAAAAAAAAACTGCAAACTCAAAATGGAAACACATTTTTTGTGTTTTCATTTTTTAGCCAAATTTATAAACTGAGACTACTGATTTACAAATCAAAAATTTTACCAAACAAGTTTTATTTGAGTTTTTTAAATTTTTATAAATATAAATAAAAAACTGAAAACGTAAGTGTTACCAAACGACACCTTAGCATTTTCCTTTAAGACTAGTTAAATTTTGATTAATCAACACACCCACAGTATTATTACAGAAAGAACAGAGTATTACCCCAGGATGGAATGAATCACCATCAACTACAATATATCAAGTAAAGATGTTAATAAATAGTAAGGGTAAATGGTTGTGGTAGATAGTCAAGATAGCTTTTTTGGTGCACCAACTTTCATTTATCTGAATTATACACAAATAAAAACAAAACAAAATAAAATCAATACAAAATATTCATTCAGAATAATACGATATAGATATTTTATTTTAAAACATAATATCTATAAAGACCATTTTTATTTACAAATTTGACATTATCATACCATTCTTGTAATGTCTCCTTATGTAATGGAGAGGATCACAATTTTATTTCGTACATATATATATATATATATATTATGTATAATTAAAGTCTTCCTCATATCTTACATGCTTTAAACCTTTAGATGCCAAAAGTCATTTTTTAATGTTTTCTCACCGCCATTTAGTGCAGGCAAGATGAACTCATCATCATTATATTGCCAAATAAAGGGGAAAGAAGTCACAGTACTTACCTATAAGACAACAACACCAAGAGCATTAATTTAAAATACTAATCAGCAATTATTTTCTCATTTTTTAGAGCCCAACGTACTAAAAATGATGATTAGGTCTTCCATCAACTGTCATATTTGTGAACTCTCAACAGTGAATAAAAACCCTCTCTAAGTCTTTCAATTAGGAAAGTTACCCAATTTGAGAATGACAATGCTGGCCACAAAGGAGACCCGAACGAATTTACTTTTCTAACTAAAGTGAGAATGTCCCTTAACCATAACTAAAAGAGCTTCTGAACCTTTTCAAGTGGTGGCTAGGCTATATATAAAGAGTACAAATATCAACTTATGGCACTAAAACAAATCAAAGCCTAGTAGTTTCAGAGTGTGTGTGTGAGTGAGTGATCATTGAAGCAAAATTGAAAAGCAAAAGATTTGGACAATGACAGGGCTTGGCTCTTCTTGTGGAGCATGCAAGTTCTTGAGGAGAAGGTGCACAAGTGAATGTGTGTTTGCTCCACACTTCAACTATGATGAAGCTGCAGCCCATTTTGCAGTGGTGCACAAGGTGTTCGGTGCCAGCAACGTCTCAAAGCTGTTGACAAACCTTCCCATGAACGATCGACGTGAAGCTGCCATCACAATATCCTACGAGGCGCTGGCTCGGATGCACGATCCGATTTATGGTTGTGTTTCTCAAATCTTTGCACTCCAACAACAGGTTTCACTGCATGACTGACTTCTCTCATACATGGCTAGTTAAATCACTCACAATAACAAAAATCTCTAATGTTGCGCCTTTATTAAACCTAAACTTGCAGGTAGCTAGCCTACAGGAGGAGATAGAAACTCTTGGAATTCAAATGGCTAACCTCACAGTTGACGTTTCGAGTTGTGGAAGTTCTCAAGCAACTAATCAGTTTAATAATGAGTTATGGGTTTATTCTCAGCAGCATAATGACATGACGAATGTACAAAACTTTTTAAGTCAACAAGATTCACTGCTCTCCCATGGAGGGGATACAGAAGGAAATCATGACCTCTATACCCAGATGAATATACAGTTTCCTTGTTTGGGATTGGAGGACCAAACCTCCTCTGTTCCTTACCCTGACTTGAGCCTCTTAGAGAGACTCCTTGAAGGAATTGACCAAGGAATCTATGCTAGCTGTCCATGGATAGTCAATGGAAGCAACACCAATTGAAGAGGGTCAAAACTGGAAGCATGGCTTGCTCTTGTGTAATATAACCTCTTTTTCATTCCAAAGAGAAACAAGTTTTGTACTATCCCCAATTTTACTAGTTATGCCATCCAGATGTTTGTTTGTTTAAAAATATTTCAATTGGAATTTTTTTTTTTTTTTTTTTGTGCGACAATCTTAAGGAAATTTTCACTTCTGAAAAAATATACTTCATCTTGGCTAAATTCACTTTATATTATCTTCAAAAATTTAAGATCCAAAAACGACCTAAATAAAGTTTTCAGTCAATTCAGGGATGGGGTTTTGTGTCATCATTTCTTTATCATTATCTACAAATCAAGATATACTTGCTTTCCATTGAAAGATTAATAATCAACACATTGATGGATAACTCCGTCCTACACCTCAGTAGAAAACAGATTTATTGTATAACCAGTTATGCAATGATATACTTTTTGTCTCATAACCAAACACCTTCATGTAAAAGCAGCGACTAATAAAGACAAAATATTTGCAGTATATACATCGGAAGATAAACGGAATGACCATGACCTTGGGGGAGGATTCAAGCAAATGCTAAAGCAAAACATATATTATATTGTGCTCTAGACCCTAATGAATATAATAGAGTTTGTGCTTGTGATACTGTTAAAGAGATTTAGGAAAAATTAGAAGTTACACATGAATGCACGAGTCAAATAAAGGAGTCTAGAATTAGCATACTTACTCATAACTGTGAGTTATTTAAGATGCAACATAATGAATCCATTTCTGATATGTTTATTAGATTTACTAATATTATTAATTTTTGAAAAATCTTGGTAAAGAGTATACTAACCATGATATGGTGATAAAAATTCTCACGTGCTTACGAAAAAGTTGGGAAGCTAAAGTGATTGCTATTCAAGAAGCAAAAGATTTATCAAAAATTAGCATGGATGAATTGTTGGGATCTCTCATGGCCCATGAGCTTACAATGATAAATGGAACCACAAGGAATGTGAAAGCCATAAGGGGAGATGATGATGAAAGTTGCTCCAAGGCATGCGTGCATTCATGCCTTTGTATTGCATGCATTAGGCTCGGTACATCATGCTAACTGCATTTGTATTCCAATCCCAAATTGAATACGCGCATCAATTAATCGCATTTCACATGCCATGTGTAGGTTAGCCGAGCCTATTCTAGTAACATGTTGTATGCGATGCATTAGGCACTTAACATGGACTTGGATCATCCATGTCTGCTAACAAGTTCTTTGTTTTGGCGCGAAGTACTAAGTAAGTATTTTAAAATGCTTTAGCATCTCGCATGCGTGTGAATGCTATCATGACAGTACGCTTACCATGTGGCTAGATGCTTATGTGATAAACTGTTTGAATGCCTGTGGGTGAAGGTTGGATTGTTTGAGTTGGAAAAACTCGTTGAAATCCGTATTTTAGCCTACTTGCGAGTAGCAAATTCCAAAGCGCTTTTCAAAACAAACGGATATGCAATGCTTATTTCCAAATTAGACAATCTAGTCTATACTTGTTTGTTGTGCGCATAACATAGTAACGCTAGGCTAAATAATTGGAATAAGAACACATAACGTTTTCAAAAACGGATATCACGGTTAGTAGAGGCCGATCTTCGGATCGGGCGAGAGGGGGTGCTTATAGCTGACCTTCCCCAATCGTCCCCTAGCTCCCGAGCCGAGACAACTCTGGTGATGACGGACATGTGGCCTTCGGCACTGAGTCAGGGTTTCCTAGATTCTCCCATAAAAAAATATTTAGGTGGCGACTCTGTATCTGGCAAAGCAGTCCGTGTTTGGCACTTCTTTTTCAAAAATCTGTTTCTCAAAACGATTTGCTGGATTTGGACTCTTTGGTTCAGATTAAGAACTGTGACAAATCGAGTACAAACTGTAGTAAACCCCACAAATGAACAGAACGGGAGCTCATCCCTCCCGGGGCGTTAGGGGGGACGTCTACAGTACCTCAGCATGCATTTGCACATGTCCCTAAGTTGGGTGCACACGGCCGCATGTGCATTGTGCGCGCAACAGCCAAGAATTATATTTTGCTTTGGACTGTTTCTATGTTTTGGACGGGAGGCACAAGAAGAAAGAAATGGGGGTAGCCCTAGTAGCTCCTTACTTGGCCGCCAAACCTCTCCTTATCTATAAATAGACCCCTCTTTTCCCCTTTGGCGAGAACCAAGAGTTTTAGTTTTTTGAAGTGTTTTAAGAGAGCTATAAGTGTGAACCCTTCATCCTTAGCCTTAAATTCAAGAATCCTATCCCTAATCAGTAGCTCCACAACCTAAAGTAGATCTAGGGTTTGAAGAAACTAGATCAAAAGCAAAGCCAAAGCCTAAGGGAAGCTTGCAAGCAAGTTTGATAATCTTTTCTTGCGTTCTTTGGTTTGGTATTCAAACCAGCGGGTAAGTCTTATTATTTTATGTAGATATTAGTACCTTTAATCATGTTTTACATAAATGATAATGATTAGGGTGTTAGCATGCATTGGTGATCATGTAGGTAAACTCAAATAATTTAAATTAGAAAAACATTTCTTAATTCACCACCGATTGCCAGAATCATGGTTAGAATCAAATCACTGCCTAATTGGACCCTTAGATTTTTGGAATTAAATCACTGCCCAGAATAATCTTAGAAGGTTTCTTAATTCCCCATAAAATTAAATTGTGACTCTTTCAATGTGGGATAAAGCAAGTTGGCACAATATGGGTTGAAACGTGCCTTATACTCAAAAAAGGCACGATGTCTACACACCCCATCAAGGCCCAAAACTCCTTGAAAGTTGTGCACATTGCTTGAGAACCGAATCTGAAAACATGAGTCATAGAATCCCACACCTGAGCTGCAACTCGAAGAAATGGGGAGTCATGGAAACCCGACAAAGGTGAAAAGGTGAATTAAGGCTGAAGTTGACAAAGTTACATTTCTCGCACCCGTCCATTCTTGCCAAAAGAGGGAAAGAAAAATGTTCTTTTGGGTGCTAAAAATGAGGAAGAGTGCTTAAAGATGCAAAATGGTTGCTTTGGATGCAAGATAACTGACAGGACACACCTGTGGGTGCCGTGCTTTTTTCGAGTCTAAGGCATTGCTTCCTACACCGACTTGTTTTGACATAGAGTCGCCACTTCATTTTTAAAGGAAATTTAAGAAACCTTTAATGACGAAAAGTAAGTTAAGGCCTAGTCTGTCATAGCCAAGAAAATTATGGGTTCTGGAGTTTAAGTACAAATGGAGAAGGCCATTTACATGGAAGCATTACAAAGATTGACCTCTACTCACTTTCTATTTCATGATTTCAGTAGTTAATTATTCACATAAATTCATTATTAGATCTAAAATCATTAACTAACCAAAAACTATGAGATTTGAAAGAAAAAAAAAAATGAATAGCATATGCTTTAGATTGAATGAATAAAGCTATATTTTTATAAAAAATAAAAAAAAAATCATTAAAAGGGGACTTTTGATAATCCATGGCTTTAAGCACAAATTAAAACACACAATACTCATAAAAACATACAAAAACACACAACATTGCAGATAAAAAACATATAGACTTAGATTATTTAAAAGACAATGCAATAAGGACATGCACATGTTATGGAGATTAAGAAGACTTACCCAGTCGGCCACTTTCAACGTCTTATAAGTAGTAAATAAATTAAATATGATACTAATATGCAACTAATACATACAAGAATGATCCTAGGACTGGTTTGAAGCTGATAGCATGATAAATATGCATAAAATACAACTAACACATAAAAGGCAAAAATACTAGAAAATTACATGGCGATCAAACTGGGCCATGCATGATTATTATAGGGTAAACTGCCAATAGGACCTAATAGTTGGAATTAATTCCCATCAAGTCCTATTGAAAATAAGTCCTAATAAAATTGATTCTGAAAATAATTTTTGTGATGATTTTTTGCATGTCGTTAAAAATTAACAATTAGTGACTTTTTTTGTCACAGTTTTTATAAATTGTCGCTAAAACTTACAATTAGTGCTGTTTTTCTATGACAAATTTTTCAAATTGTCACTTGAAGTTAAAAATTACTGACTTTTTTTGTGATGATTTTTTTAAACTGTCGCTAAAACTTATAATTAGTGACATTTTTTGTGATAAAATTTTCAAATTGCTGCTGAAAATTAACAATTAGTGACGTTTTTAATTGTGTGTAGGACGTTTTCAGGGGTACCCGAGCGAGCCCGACAATTCAGACTCCTGATTTCTAATATGATATCACTAGTGCACTGTGAAATAGAAAATGAAAGTCTAGATCAGGAAACTTTATAGAAAATCTGTTTATTTCAAAATATGCCAGAAAATTGACTACATCATCAGATTTCATAGTCGCTACCTAATCTTTTGGAAAAGCTAGGAAAATCGTAACTTGTGCCAAAGGCTACTGTTTGTCATAACCAAAGATGCCTCGATTCGAAACCTTAGGTATGTGAGAGGGAAGGTCATGAATTGAGCACCCCCTACAGCCCCAGGTGGCGAAGAGCCGGCATCGAGGTACAAAGATTTTGGATTTGTTCATAACGAGTTGATTAATCCGTTTCTTGTTGCTTTCCAGCCGAAGCTTGTTGGGTAGTGAAGTGGTCCGTGAAGGTTAAATCACACTTGTGTTAAGCAAGCTAAGTAGTCAAGCTAGAAAGGAAAAAAGAAGAAGCAAGAAGCAGTTTTCGTTCAATTGACGGAATCAATCGTAAGAAGGATATACAAACATAAACCAATCCCAATGAAAAGGCAGAAGATTGGCCTTTACTAACCACGATATAAATTTTATAAACATTATGTGCTCATGTTCTGGTTTTAATAATGCTAACATTACTATGTGAAACAAACGAGTATAGATTGTGTCGTTTATTTTGGTTATGCTTTGATTCCATGCATTTTGGAAGGTTTTTTTTGAACAAATGCACAACTCACCGAAAAACTAAGCTCACATGCATATCAATCAACATCATTCCAACCCAAGCAACACAAGCTTCATCTACTGGTATTCAAGAAGATATATCACTTAAGCATGTAGCCGCATCATAGGATGCTAGACATAATAGTAATAACATACAAAATCGGGATGCTAAAACTGGAACC